ATCCCCCATAGTGGGGCGCAAACTCAGGACCTTGTGCTTTCCAGGCAGGTGATTAAGCTGCTGAGCTATCTCCCTGGCCCTGGCAGCTCTTTCTTGAGCCTCCCTGGCCTTAGGAGCCTGTCTTGTTGGTCATGTGTGCACAGTGCCATTGTGCTCCGAGTGGTAAGGGTGCTATGAGAGGTAATAAGCCACTTGTCATCCAATGTCACCTGTAGAGCATCACCTAGAGTTTTACAAGTCCCATGTGTTCTTGTGTTTGCAGGCCTGAGCAATGTCTGAGAATTCCAGCGACAGTGACTCTTCGTGTGGCTGGACTATCATAGGTCATGAGGTATGCCTTCCCAACCTGTGATCTCAGCAGCAGGGATGTTTCCATGCCTTCAAGCCAGAGGACTATCATCTGTAGTGTGGATGTCTTGCCACTAACATTAAGTAGTGCTGGCAGCTCTCTGTGGGCCAAAACCTTCCACGCCCTGCACATAGCATTCCTGAGTGCCAAGATGCCACATGGAACTTATTGAGCGGCCCCTGGACCTTAACTGTGTTCTCATGTAATTAACCACTCAGTAGGGAGTTGACTTTTCATTCTGGTTTGTGTGTGTGTGTGTGTGTGTGTGTGTATGTATAGTTCCAGGTGGCTTTGAACTCACTCTGTAGCTCAGGTTGCCCTTGAACTCATGGCCATCTTCCTGCCTTAGTCCCGGAGTGATGGGGTTACAGGTGTGCACCACCCCACCCAACCCATTCTCATGTTGTAGTTGAGAATAGAAAGGTTAAGTAATTTACCTGAGATCACCTAACAGAAGATGCCTGGTGCTTTTGAAAAGACTAGAAAGACAGAGAACATGTGCTCCTTACTTGTGTTATGAGGACTCCAGGAAAAGGAATGTCAGAAAGTGAGTTTTATAACTAAAGAACACTAGACTTGGTGCAACATACATGACTAAATATAATAAACATCCAGTTTACGGTTTTTTACAGGTATTTTATTTTTGTATTTTTATAAAGGATCTGATAAACTTTTTATTAATATAATCTTTAATATTTTTTCCAACTTTTTTGGAGATAGGTCTGAGGTCTGGCCTGGAGCTAGCTGTCTGTATGGCCCAAGTATGTGCAAGAGGCCTGGCATATAGATAGTCTTGAAGTCCTGGGTGTTGGTTTTTTTTTTTTTTTTTGCGGGGCGGGCACTGGAAATTGAACTCAGGACCTCATGCTTGCCAGGCAGGTTCTGTGCCATTGAACTGTACCTCTGACTCAAAAGTCCTGGGTTTAAAATTCTTTAGAACTCTTCCCTGAATTCTTCTTTGATTTTACTGTTCCTTATATATATCGGGAGAACTCAGATCTCTTGATATTATGAATCATTAGAAAAGTGGAAATAGGAGATGGAGGAGACAGAAGTTAACTTTCTGTTGCTAATTGAAACACAAAGAACAAAATTGTAAGATCTGGTGTTAATTGAAAGACTGACATCAAAGTAGGAAGGGTAATTTCAATTAAAAAGTAAATTTTTTTTGGTACTGGGAATTGAACCTAGGATCATGTACTTACTAATAGACAGATGCTGTGCCATTGAACTGCATCCCCCTCCCTCCAAAAAATAAAATTTTATAAGGAAAGCAAATAAAATAAAATTTTATAAAGAAAGTATTAATGTAATAGGTTCATTTATTCCAGGGCCAAATTATTTTAGCTTACAGTAATTACTATAACAGGTAGTTGTTTACATGTGGCTGTTTCTCTGAACAGCTAATAATATTAAAAAATATGTATTTAAATTTTTTTTTTCGTAATCCCAGTGCTGGGACGGCTAAAAACAGGAGGATTACTATGAGTCCAAGCTGTGTAGTGATACCCTGTACCTAATACATTAAAAAAAAAAAAAAAAATTTTTTTTTTTTTCTTAGTAATAGGACTTAACTTTGGGCT